CCCCAAAACCCCAAAACCCCAAAACCCCAATGATAATACATTGATTATGATTGAGAGAACTTGAAAGTTATGAAATTAAGATTATTGATTTATATTTCTCAAAATATATTACAAGCTTTAGAGTTTTTATGCTTAAACGCCTCTCTTTCTCTTTCAAGTAAATCTATCTAACTTTGAGATTATTTGACTTATTATTTAACATCCTTGAGATTCTTCTTGACAGTTGAATATGCTTGGCTTAACTTTTCATTATCCTTGAAAGGATCATTAAAATCTGATTCTTTTTTGGTTTATCTGTTTGATAGAATCTAGGATGAATTTAAACTTTGAGATTTATCATTCTACTCCCTCAGTAGTTAATCTTGAAGTTCCTTTTACTCTTCCATTCTCGATTGCCTATCTTTAATTGTTTGCAAATCTTGAAATTATTCTTGGAGCTACATCATCTAGTTTCTTTGAAGGTCTAAAAGATTCTTAAGTTGATCAATCTATTTCTCCTTTTGATTCATGACTTTATTCGCCATATCAAGTTGGACTTTGTGTTATGATTCCATCTCTAGTTAAAACTTCTTGAGATTTGCATCGAATTCTTTCTATTGCTCTATTTACTTTATCTTTTATTGTTCTAATTCCATTTCTAATATCAGTTTTTTCGTCTCAGCATCTCTTTTAATATTTTCATTCCTTTTTTGCTCAAGATAATTTTTGGGTAGCAAATTTACATGATCTGGCTGTGTTTGTCTATTAAAAATTTCTTTTTCCCGCTCCTTCATTGTTATTGCCATTTTATCGATGTTTTTGTCTTTGAAGGGATCTGATAAAAGGTAATTTAATCCATTAATCCTAGATTCTCCCTCAAGTTCTTGTAATGATTTTGGTCGATCTCTCAGTATTTATTCACCCATTACAACTGAGACAAGATCTATAAGTTCTTAGTCTTCAGATGTCTTAGCATAGTCAATCGCAGTCATTTTTCTAGAATCAGGAGTCAGACCTATTCTTCTCATATTTTGGGTGCCAAATAGTTCTCCCAAAAGTTTTATGATCTTTTTAGCTGAGCAACTAAAAATTAATCAAAAATAATTATTAAAGTTACCATACTGCATTATGAAATGAAAATTTGGTGTCATCATCTACATTATGCAGATAAATTCCTCTATCAAAAGCTAACTTAGGGTATATTTCTAGATCCTTATCAAGTGAAAATATCAGTAGTTACGACCAGAGTTACTCAGATAAAGGTGATTTATGATTAAGCAATATTGCTGTGCATGAATTTTCATCTTAAATATGAGTATTTAGTATAGCTAGTTCAATAGGAGTTCTTCCTTCCTTGTCTTTAGAGTCGAGGAAAGCCCCGTTCTATAATAAGATTTTTAGAAAATTAGTTTTCCCTAAGTAAGCAGCACAATGAAGTGGAGTCCATCCCTAAAAATCTTGAGTGTTCACATTAGCACCTTTATCTAGGAATTCTCTATAAATTTTTCATTAATTTAATCTTACATTAATTTATCGAAATGGTCATTAAGGACACAAGAATGAATAATTATTGGAGACATGCTTAAATAAAGGAATTTCCATTCATCATGGAAAATTGAACCGAATACTTTCTCAATCATGCCTTTATCTGATTCTTTTTATTCGTATTGCTATTATATTGTTAAAGGCCTGTCTCCTTCTTTGATCATTAAAAGTTTACTACTTCTATCCTACTATTATTGACTCTAGTTCAAGTCTGGTAGATTTGAGTCCATTATAAAATTTCTGAATGTAGCCCTTAAGTTGAAAGCCATTTCTATATTATTATCATGGCAAATGTTATTAATCATTGTATAGAGAACAAAGTCGTCTACTAGTTGCTTTTAAAAGAACCAAGTCTTAGGATCCCATATCCGATCTTATGCTTTTTAAAGATATTCTAATTCAAGCTATTTTCCATTTTTCCTATCAACCTTCATTCTTGTCTTAAGTTCAATAAGTTCTTCTATATTCTCAATTCTTATTCTACACTCATTGCTTAGATTATCTATATCTATTTATGGGTCTTCTAAGCTGCAATAATGCTAAATGTCCTCATCTTTAACAAATGCTCTCTTTTTAAATGGCTTACGAGATATTCTTTCCATCATAAGCTCCGATATGCATTACCAAAATTTTTAAACCTTTTCTCTATTTAGTAATCCTCTATATATCATATTATCCATATCCTCAATATCAGTAATCGAATTCTACTGTTTAAAAGCTTCTCTTTCTATCATCATATAAATAGCATCATCTATCTTTGTAAGCCTACCATTGGTATTCTTTCTAATACCTTTAGCTTGCATGATATCAATTGGTATGAGATTTCTTGCAATTTTTGAGTATTCACTATTAGCATCGCATAAATCTGCTTTACTGATTTAATCTGAAAATGTTTGTCTTACAAATACTGCTGCTCTTCAAACAACATTAGATTCCAGCCAAAGTTCTTTGATTGTCTCAAGAAATTCTTATGCCTTGGCCTTATTTAGAAATACCTTATTTATAATCATGGATATTTCGACAGGATTTTGTCCATATTAGATTACATATTATTCCAAAACAGAGCATCCTATTCTATCGTAAAGAAACTAAACTTCCTCAATTGATATTTTCAGTCTAGCTCTATAATCTCTAGCTGTTTTTGGCAGTAAATTTTGTCCAAATAAATCAGAGTATTTTTAGAATGTTGGAAAAGTAAGTTTATCTTCTAGGCTGCTATAGTCTTACTCCTCATGGCTTTTAATTACTCTTGACATTAAAAGTTCTTTAGCAATTATCATTTTGGGAAAGGTCTAATCGTAACCAAATACATATGATTAAGTATTTGAACCTTATTTAAAACCTATTTCTTTTAGCAGCTTTACAGCTTAGGGATATCTAGCGAATTTCGATTTAAAGTAACTCAAATCTACAATTCGAAAGTGATCAACATAAGGATTTGCAAGGATAGAATTAAATATATTGAACAGTGAATCAAGTGATCGATTTCCTTAGTTTATAACTTATTAGCTTGAATTCATAGCTTTAAGTAAGTCATCAATTATCTATCGTACTTAATTAGTTTCATGCATACCATCATCTATTTGTTAAGTGGCACTCATTTGAATGAAACTGTTTAACTTTTCTCTTTTTGGTGTGTTATATTGAGATTTGTTATTTTGAATCATTGAAGAGTTGAGAGATTTAGATTCTGTTGAATATTAGCTAAACTGCACCTGTCTTGTTTACGGCATTTAAAAAGGTGACTTGCTTCTCATTTGAGCTTCTCCTGATTATTTTAAGTAATCGAACCTTTTTGCCATAAATTATGCTGGATTTTAATTAATT